ACATCTCGGGCTTGCTGCAGCCAGGAGGAGCTAGGTTGCTCAACCCCTGACCTTTCACCGGAATAGAGTTTGAGATCAAACAATGGTTGGTATGTCCTCATTTGCAAGCCCCTCACATTTTGGCTCAAGGGAGTTTTACAGTAGGAACCTCTGAATATAGGCATATAAGATGCGAAGGCCTCCGCATTACATTGGAACGTTTCCTTGGGAAAAGTCTAAGTGGGGCTTTACAGGTTTGCACACTTCTTCTGTGTGTCCTCTTTACCTTTCACCCATTGTAAAAGCCTGTAGAATTGAAGCAGTCTAAGAATGTTGGGAACAATATTTTATTATGCTGCAACAATAATGGACATATTCCATATATAACAGAGGTAATGAGTTTAGCAAAACCTACCAGAACATTCAGTAGTCAAGGGTTCTTTGCCTTTTTGTGTCTCAGATGAAAGGTATCGAGTACCATAGTGGAGTTTAATAGACCTTGTCTCAAAATGTTTTAAAACACGTAAAATACACGCGATACGAAAGAAACCACTGATGATAAAAGTTACAAACGTATTTTTAATTGTGATACAGTAATAAGCATTTCTTAAATAAGATCTGGCAGCTTTTCTGTAGTTTCGAGGTAGTGAAGGAAATGCTGTATTTCCAATAGAGATTAGTGAAGTAAACGTATAATTTCCCCCATCCAAGTTCACGGATGAACTTCCCCCATCCAAGTTTATTGTTCCGTCCACAGGAGTCTATGGACCCCAGGTCTGATCATTAGTACTTCTTTTTTTTTTTTTAATGTTTTTTATTTATTTCTATGAGAGAGAGAGAGAGAGACAGCGTGAGCAGGGGAGGGTCAGAGAGAGAGGGAGTCACAGACTGAAACAGGCTCCAGGCTCTGAGCTGGCAGTCAGCACACAGCCTGACGCGGGGCTCGAACCCACGAACCGCGAGATCATGACCTAAGTGAAAGTCGGACGCTTAACCGACTAAGCCACCCAGGCGCCCCAGATCATTAGTACTTCTAAGGGCAACAGATCTCTGGTCAGTTGAGTAGGAAACAGATCAGACTCAAGCTACAAGACATATTTGGCAAGGCATAAATAACCATTATTCCATTCAAGTAGCAATTGCTGCTCTATACAAAAAAATGTGATGATGTGGTGCAATGGGTTATAACTGTGGAAAATCATTTTGATGGAGTAGATGCCAGAGCCACACAGGCTGAGGTCAACACTGAAGGGTAGGGGACAGTAGAAAATCATCATCGAAACCTTGGGCTGTGCGGTTTGAAGGCAAGGCAAGGAAATGTCTCCTTTATTAAGGACTGTCATATTAAAAGGAACGTTTTTTTTTATGCCAAAAAGATACGTAATAATGTTCAATGTTTTGGTTCCTAAGAGATTCCACCCACTTAGCACATAGCTGCCGTTATTTCATGATTGCATCTTCAGCAAGCTCACACTACGTTTGTATGCCTAATTTGGAAAGGACATGTGCCTCTGTTGTCTAGTGAATCTAAAATTGTTTCTGTGTGTCCAACAGTCATAGACTTTGTTGGTAGCAATTTTGAGACTAAGCGGGTCACAGTTGTGTCAGCAGGAAAAAATGGATATTGTTGTAATACCTGCTGGCTTCTTAAGTTTCTCAGTGGTGGGCTTTCTGTTCAACTCCAGTGCAAAGGTGATACATTGACTCAGAGACACAAAGAACTCTGTAGGAGATCTGGTGAAGTAAATAATCTCTTCCAGAAAGAAGAGAGGTGGGCAATGTGTTGGGGTTTTAAAATGTAACAGGCGAGTTTCATGATCATTTTGTGGAGGAGATTAGTCGGCTCATTCATTCATTCTAACATCTGTTGACCAGTCCCCTCACAAGAATCCCCGCCCACCACTGAGCAAAACACACCCTTCGGCCTCCATAATTCCATTCCTTCTCCCAAGTCCCTCCCTGGTGCCTGCTGCTACCCATCATGCTCTCTCCTGCTACTACTTAGCATCTCTGCTCTCCTCCTGAAGCCCTCATGCACCTCCCTTTCTCACCTCCCTTCTTACTGTGGTTCTTCCATCTGGTTCATCAGAAGAAGACACTTCTCTTGTATCCCTCTTCTTTCTTTCTAGTCCAAAGTTTTCCTCTCCCAACTGTGTTGAAACAGGGAAAAAATATTCCAAGCAACTTTGTCCTAAACTATTTGCCTCCTAATTCTGAAAACAGAACAAAATGAACTACAAAATTAAACCACAGTTCTCTTCCAATTGGCCACTATTTGTCCCCTCCTCCTCCCACCTCCAAATCTAGAGCAAAGTACATCTATTCCTGGGCACATAATTGCAAAGATTGATCCATATGTGAGAAAGATTGACAATGATTTCAAACATAGTGACTCTTCTTTTCTCTCTCACTCTCCCCCCCCCTTTTTTTTTTACCGTATTTGTTGTTATAATCCTGCAGAACTTTTTCTTTTTTCTTTTTCTTTTCTTTTTTTTTTTTTTGCCTGTTCCATGAGCCACATCATGTTCCCCCTTATGCCCTGCACTCTCAGGTAATTGGCAGATGCTCATAATGTTCCTTTTTAAATCTTGTTGAAGAAAAGGAAAACATTCATTCCTTTTTAAAACAGCTTTATTGAAGTATAATTCACATACCATAATATTCACTCCTTTAAAGTACATAAAGCAATGAGGCACTGGGCTGGTGCCGTTGGAAGAGCATCAGACGCTGGATCTCGAGGTTATGAGGTTGAGCCCCATATTGGGTGTAGAGATTACTAAAAAAGTAATAAAATTTTAAAAAATAGGAAAAATAAAGTGTACAATGCATTGGTTATCAGTAAATTTACAGAGTTATAGAATCAAGACCACAATCCAATTTAGAACATTCCCATCACCCCCACCCCCAAAAGATCATTGTGCCCTTTTTTAGTTTGTTTCGGGCCTTACACCCAATGTAGGTCTTGAACTTAACAACCTTGATAGAGTCACGTCCTCTAGGGGCACCTGGGTGGCTCAGTCGGTTGAGCATCTGACTTCAGCTCAGGTCATGATCTCACCGTTCCCAAGTTTGAGCCCCATGTCTGGCTCTGTGCTGACAGCTCAGAGCTTGGAGCCTGCTTCGGATTCTGTGTCTCCCTCTCTCTCAAAAATAAACATTAAAAAAGAAAAAAAAAAAAAAAGAGCCACATGTGCCTGTTCTACCAGGTAAGCCTACTAGGAGCTTGTCTTTGTGCCCTTTTGTAACCACTACTTACTCCTTCACACCCCCAGCCCCAGGCAGCCTCTGCTCTAGTTTCTGTGTCTGGTGATTTCCTTTTTTGGAAATTTCATGCAGATAGAATCATATAATCTGTGATCTTTTGTGACTGGCTTCTTTCACTTACCATGGTTTTTAGGTTCAGAAAAAGACTGATAACTCATTTGTTTCCCTTGTCATAGGATTCTACAGAATAAAATTGGAAAGGTATAGCAAGCATTTAAAATTGGATGGCATCTCTTTTGAACAAAATTGTAGCAAATCCATGGTTTGAGCAGAATTGGCACATTGGAAGGATTTGGGCCACTGTGGCAGGGAGACACACAAGTGACACAGCCTTGTCATTTAACTCTGTTACTATTACCACCACTACTTCTGGTAGGACCCCCGCTGCTGTGTTCTTAGGGGCCTGAGTAGGAATAGACATTAATGTACAGCAGGTGCTGTGCTAAAACCCGTTATGCACTTGTCTCATGAATCCTCACAAAATTCAAGAGATTATCGTCTACATTTTGCAGAGAAGGAAACAGACTCTGAGAGGTTTTAACTGAGGCTGATATCACTTGCCCAAAACCACATAGGTGGTAAATACCGGGTGCTAGGTTTGAAACTAGTCCAGTCCTTTTCAGGCAATAGAGTCTGTTTTCTTTTTCTTTTTTTTTTCCTTCCTTAAATAGTTTATTGTCAAGTTGGTTTCCATATAATCCAGTCTCATCCCAACAAGTGCCCTCCCTCATGCCCATCACCCCCCTTCCCCTTTCCCCCACCCCCCCAGCCTTCAGTTTGTTCTCAGCATTCAAGAGCCTCTCATGGTTTGCCTCCCTCCCTCTCCCCAACTATTTTTCCCCTTTTCCTCCCCATCGTGTCGTCCTCGTTACAAATACCATATGTTTGCACATATAGGTGGATTAGGAGATAAAACATTAAAAAAAAAAAAAAAGGAGATAGAGCCTGTTTTCTTAACCTTTCTGCCACATTGTCTCTTACTAATGAGAACCTGAAGAAACAAAACTAGCCTCCGGGATCAACATAGGGTCATGCCTGCAGCCCCCAGGGCAGAGTGGATGGCTTTCCTCCCCACTCAGTTGCCCTGTGCCCTCATCTTTTCCCACCCTACTCGAGAATGCTCTTTGCACCGATCACCCATTAGTACTTTTATATTCAGATTCCCCCTTCAAAGAAGTCCGTGAATTGCAACATTTTTAGAATGAGTTCTACCTAGAAAGTTCTGTTTCCTTGAAGGTAAAAGGTAATCATCGGGAAATGTGTTTAGTGCAAAGAGCTCATTGCTGGATAAAGGACACGCACGTTAAACCAACCTGTGTTTTGGGTCCCAAGACTGAATTTTAGGGGCACCTGTGTGGCTCAGTTGGTTAAGCATCCGACTTCGGCTCAGGTCACGATCTCACGGTTCGTGGGATTGAGCCCCATGTCACGCTCTGTGCTGACAGCTCAGAGCCTGGATCCTGCTTCTGACTCTGTATCTCCCTCTCTCTCTGACCCTCTCCTGCTCACACCGTCTCTCTCTCTCTCCCAGAAATAAACATTAAAAAAAATTTTTTAAACCAACCTGTGTTTTTGGTCCCCAAAATTTTTTTGGTCCCTGTGATTTTTAAAATGTGTCAGCTCTCGCTCCCCTTCTTTGGGAACACAAGAGATGAGAGTGGGTTATAAAGTTATTCCCGAAGAAATGGGTGTTCAGATACTTTTCTTTACCTTCTGTGTGTGTGCATTCCCTGTTCATGGGGGGACTGTTCCTACAGCTAAGAAGATACCTCCCAACTTGCCTGACTTCTTGGACAACTCCTCCCCGTGTCCTGAAATCTTCCCAGTCAGAAGCTCTGCTCGGTGTAACAGATCATGGGCCCCCCTGCGCCCCCCTGCAGATGTTCACAGAGGAGGAGATGATGATTAAGAACACCGGTGAGTAGACGGCTCACTTCCACCTCTGGACCCCTCTGGCCACCAGTTGGGTCCCTGGTATGAAATTCCGTGACGTGCCTGGGGGATGTGTGTACCTCAGTTTGTGAATGCCGTTTTTCCCCCTTGAATTTAAAACATTTTTTTTTGAAAAAAGTAAAACCTGTCATATTAAATAGAATAAAGATGTATCTGTATTGTTGTTTTTGTTCCCTACAGTTAAAAAATTTGCCCAGGAACAGATTGCTCCTCTCGTTTCAACAATGGATGAAAATTCAAAAATGGAGAAATCAGTAATACAAGGATTATTTCAGCAAGGGGTACATACTTTGTAATTCTTCCCATTTCAAACTCTTAGAAATAATGTACTTTCCAGCATGCAAATGTAGGCATGCTTTTAAATTTAGGGATTTTAATGATGGCATAAGGAAGTCTTCATTTCCTAGTCAGAATTATCTGTGTTCTCATTCATTCATTCATTTAATTTTAAATGTTTATTTATTGGAGAGTATTTTTAAGTGTTTATTTATTGGAGAGAGGGCATGATTGGAGAAGGAGCAGAGAGAGAGGTAGAGAGGGAATCCCAAGCAGGCTGCACCCTGTCAGCACAGATCCCAATGCAGGGTTCAATCTCATGACCATGAGATCATGACCTGAACCAAAGTCAAGAGTCAGATGCTTAACCAACTGAGCCACCCAGACGCCCCTCTATGTTCTCTTTTAGATTGAGGTCCTCGTTAAAGATTTTTAAAATTGTTTTTAACATTTTAGTTAGAAATCCTGTACTTTTTAAGTAAAGGGCTCAAGCAAGAGAAACTGATTTCCCTGGACCCGTGGTACCCAGCCAGAGGCTGTTTCGGCCCTCAAGAGGCATTTGGCAGTGTCTGGAGACATTTTTGGTTACCACAGCTGGAGGTGCCACTGACAATCGGTGGGATGGAGGCCAGCGATGCTGCTAAACATCGTACAGTGTACAGGACAGTGCACGACACAGAATCTTCCAGCTCAGTAATGCCGAGATTGAGAAGCCAACTTACTTCATGATACTTCATAGTAGACTGTATATTCTACCTGAGTCCCCCTCTCTCTGTGCATGGTCAACTTAGAAGCAGAGGCAACATCTGAGTTCCATATTAACCAGGGAAACCGATCTCCAAATTTCTAAATCACGTGGTCCTTTGATGGAAGCCTGGTATACACAGCAGAGAAAAGTAGAATTGTTCTGGGGCACCTGGGTGGCTCTGTCAGTTAAGCATCAGACTTCAGCTCAGGTCATGATCTCACAGTTTGTGGGTTCGAGCCTCGTGTTGGGCTCTGTGCTGATAGCTAGCTCAGATCCTGGAGCCTGCTTCAGATTCTGTCTGTCTGTCTCTCTTTGTCTCAAAAATGAATAAACTTAAAAAAAAAAGTAGAATTGTTTTTGACTGTGGGTTTTCAGCCTGGGGGCTCCAAGGAGAACATTTTCAAAATCACTACTCTTACTCATCATCTCAGACTCCTCTCCATAGGTGTGAAGTGATATTGGTTTTTATTTTGAATACTGGGGATATCTCAGAACTAGTAGCTCCTATTCAGAGCCATTGGCTAAAATCTGGTGTGTTATCCTGTTTGAAAAATAGCCTTTTGCACCCAACCTAAATAGTTTTACTTCTTCCCAGTTTTAAAGAGACCAGCTTTTTAACGCCATACATAGTAGTGATTTTTCTACCTTTTTTTTTAAAGCAATGAAGGGTTTAGGAAAATGGAATCTTCTGTGGAGTCCAAATGGGTCAGATAGCATCCATGAATCCATTTTTCAGGCAAACTTCATCTCCACTGTCTGCAGGACCTCTCCACTGCTCCGAAAAGTCTTAGTATTTGCTCTACAGTTTGGACATCACTCTCCCCATGGGGCGTTCTTGCTGGCCGGGTTCTCTGTGGCCCCACAACCTCCTCTTCCTTAGGTGTAGCGCCACCTGGAGGCTCTGCTTGGCTGCACATATCCTGCACTAGCTGTTCTCAGCCTCCTCTCACCCCACCCCCACCCCCATGCCACGGTCACCTGCCAGAAAAGCTGACAAGATCCGCATTTCCACCATAGGGAACATTGGTAACTTTTTTGGAGAAGCGGGGTCTCTGTCAGCTATAAGGTATTATAATCAGATAAGTTACCACGCCCTCCTCAGACTTCAGCACCCCCGAATCCTTCTGTCTTCCCGATAGAACATCATTTGTGGTTCTCACCATCTCATTCTCCCCTCTGTGTGCTTCTACCCACCCATCCGCTAAGTCTCCCATCAGCGGAAACATAACAGCTGGAACCCAGACTCCAGCATGCTGTGATTCCAGAAGTGTCTGGAGAGAAAGAAGTAGCGTTATCCTTTTATCTGTGAACAGCTCTGGGTCTGGAATTACATGCATACACATTGCCTTTCTAAAATGAGGACACTTAAAAGTGGGGAACTGTGGAAGTGTCATGTTCCAGACTTAGGAGTAGCTGCTGAACAGTCAGGCAGTCACTGGCAAGCCTTGGCCAGCATCTGGTTGTGTTTGCCAGGCTCCTCCGCCTTGTCTGTTGTGGTTCTAGAAGAGACCACCAGGTGTCCACTAACCATCTGGACTTGCCGCCTTGCCCCAGAAGGAATGGCCATTCAGTTATTGTCTTGGCTGCACAAGTCAAGGTGGAGGAGCCTGACCAGAAGAGATTGTGACCCGCTGCCTTCCTCCGTCTCCTCTTTCTCATCATTCCATTCCATTCTCGTTCAAAGCATTTCACCGATTTTTGTGTTTTCGATGACATAAGGAAGCAAATGATGGTTGTAGCATGTAACCCTATCCTTTTCAAATCTATATAGTTATGTATAGTTTTATAGTTTTTGCAACTTATAATGTAGTGAAATAGCCATCCCAAAGTAAAATGAAATACAGTTTTAAAATTAGGAACTTACATAGTTAAAATTTGGTTTTGAACTTATAAGAAGCTTTCCCCTATAAAAACTAACTTTCTTAATCTGTGTTTCTTTGTCTTTCCTATAGTTGATGGGTATTGAAGTTGAAACAAAGTATGGAGGAACAGGAGCATCCTTTTTTTCCTCTATCCTAGCCATAGAGGAATTAGCCAAAGTTGATGCGTCTGTGGCTTTGGTATGTGACCTCCAGAACACAGTAATTAACAATCTGATTCGAAAACATGGAACAGAAGAACAAAAGGCTACCTATTTGACCAAGCTGGTGACAGAGAAGGTGAGTTGATAGTTGTTGAAACGAATCTGTTCTCTTCCAGACTTAGGACCTCTTCCACTGCAATGTTGACCCCTACCCAAGACCACGGCACGGCACCATTCATTAGTCAGGCAATGCTCAATAAATTAACGCTACTAGACAAATCTATTCTACCTCTCATTTCTGCTTAGAAACTCAGAGGATAATCATCAGACAAAAAAATCTTTTTTTTTTTTTTGGCTCCAGTTATATTTTCTTAATACTTTTGTTGGTGGTTTCATTAATGGTGAGATATCTAGAAAATTGCAATTATTAGAATGAATTTCATTCAATTTGTCAAATGTGTATGCTTGAGTCTTTAAATCTATCTTCGACAAATACGAGGGTATATTTTAGAAAATAATAATGAAGATACCATTACTACTTTGATAGGCATAGGCTTTTAAAATGACTAAAGCTTTCACTGACAGATGTTTATTTTACCCTAAGTATGTGTTATACCAAGTGCAAATACAGTTTTTAACTTTGATTTTTTTTTTTTTTTTTTTTTTGCTTGTATATGTAGATAGGAAGTTTCTGCCTTTCAGAGGCAGGAGCAGGTAGTGATTCATTTGCTTTGAAGACCAGGGCTGATAAAAAGGGAAATTATTATGTCATCAATGGGTCAAAGATGTGGATCACCGGTGCTGAGTATGCGGAGCTCTTCCTGGTGATGGCGAACGTAAATCCTGACCTTGTAAGTTTGGAAGCAGAATTTCTTCCCTCTCCCGCCCCACCTTTTCTTTTTCTATCTCTCCTACTTGCATTTCCTTTTTACAACTTGGTCTGAAATTCTTCCTTCTCCTCAGAAATGAAATGGTAAGACAGTTGATTTCTTTTCATTCTCTTATTTACTGATGTTCCTGGATAAATACAGTTGATGTGATTATTACTTCCATGGAGGACTATTTATTAAGGCCACCTCATATGTTATATAGGAAGCTAATCTCCCATTTTGTAGGATTCCAGATTTTCTATTTAATGATGAAGTATTGACTTAGTCCGTTCATTTTTAAGAAAGTTTTGTATAGTTGGAAAATAGGTACAGGGCAAAAAAGTAAATACATTTCATCTTTTGTCCTTTCTCTGACATAACAGTTAATTGAGTTAAATTTTAAAACTTTAAAGTATTTAATAAAATTAAATTTAAAACATGTAAATTCTCATGATCACATAATACTTTAGCATATCTTAATTTTAATAGCCATAATGGTTTTTGAAAAAGTCAAAGAACCTGTAGCATTCTTAACTCTGAATCTAATACTTCCAATATTTCTTGTTTCCTGACGCACATGTTGCAATGTTCAGCCGTTAATATTTTAAAAAAAATTTTAATGATTACTTATTTTGAGACAGAAAGAGAGAACACGAGTGGAGGAGGGACGGAGAGAGAGGGAAAGAGAATCCCAAGCAGGCTCTGTGCGGTCAGGCTGACGCAGGTCTCTATCCCACAAACCATGAGATCATAACCTGAGCCAAAACCAAGAGTCAGATGCCTGACCAACTGAGTCACTCAGCCAACCTTGAACCCATTACTATTTAATGCTAAAGTTCAGTTTTAATTTTCTGGTAACTTTCAGCTGTTGGAAACAAAGATCTTCCCAGTTCAGATGTGGCAATAGCATTTTTTAAATTAGCATTTTAAAATCTATTTTTTAGGGGTATAAAGGAATTACCTGCTTCTTAGTAGACCGTGATACTGAAGGCCTTCACATAGGAAAAGCGGAGAATAAAATGGGGATAAGAGCTTCTTCAACCTGCCCATTAACGTTTGAAAACGTCAAGGTGGGTATCTTAGAATTTCCTCAAGGACTGGTGTGAAATAAGCTTTGCACAGAACTATCAGTGTGCAAGAAAGGTGTCACAATATTGAGTGTGCATTAGAGAGTATTTTGTAAAACTTGGATCATATTCTTAGGTGAGATGGTGGACTAAATGTACCTTTTTTTTAAAAAAAAAGAAGTATTTTTATTTTTTAAAGTTTATTTATTTTGAGGGAGAGAGTGCAAGTGCAAGTGAGTGGGGGAGGGGCAGAGAGAAAGGGAGAGAGAGAATCCCTAGCAGGCTCCACACTGGTACAGGGCCCGATGTGGGGCTCAAACACACAAACCATGAGATAATGACCTGAGCCAAAACCAGGAGTCAGACGCTTAACCATCGAGGCGCCCCCTAAATGTACTCTTCACGAGTTCAGGCAAAGAATGAAACCTTTTCTCCCCAGAAGCTGGCCTCAGAGCCAGTGCTGAGGATTAATCCCATTTATACTTAAAAACAAATTTTTTTTACAGTTTATTTATTTTTGAGAGAGAGGGAGCATGCATGCACACAGGGGAAGGGCAGAGAGAGGGTATGAGAGCTGGCTCCTTCCCCGCTGCTCATGGCGTGAGCAGCGTTGCTCAACCGACTGAGCCACCCAGGCGCCCCCCATTTATATTTTTTAATTTACATGCTTGTGAACCACGTACTTTATAAGCTTGATATTTGCGAACCAAATCTGCATTTGGAGACAGACGTTTGGTGTTGGCATACTTACGGCCACAAGGTGGTGATGTTGCTCAGCGAGCCTAGGAACCGACCTGGCGTCGCCCTCCAGTTGAGTGCAATCTGTTCAAACCGAGGAAGAGACGATTGCCAGAATGGCTGGACTTTAGAACTTGACACAGGAGGAACAGGCTGTGACAGGGTTTTTACCACTCCCATTACAGCTTGATTTTTCTGTTCATGAGTGAGCGTGTGTCGTGGGCACCCATGGGGTAACTGTACAGATAGATGTTTCAGCCTCACTAATCCTCCGGGACTGGCCTCTTTCCCACCTGCCCTTTCTCTATTCTGCCTGCTTCCTCCCCCAGGGTTATAAAGCTAAGTGTATTCTTTTATTGTTCCTAGTCTAGATTTTTTAAAATGATGAATAAACACTTCAATCTATTTCTTCTCTCCTTTCTCCCCTCCCTGGTATGCTCATGCATATATGTGCGCACACCTCAGTTGATGTTTGCGGGAATAATAGTCTCGACAGAAGAAAAGTTTCACACCCGTGATTTAGCAAACACGTATTTTCTGTAATTTCTAAAATGTTGTGTTTGCTCCTACAGCATACAGATAAGAATTAGGGGAAATTGTTATTCATTTGGTGCTGAGGAATTGTATGAGATTCCGTTTCTCTAGACCCATTCATTCGTTTCACACATGCCCCAGCTGGACGCTAGAGGACGCAGTAGCAAACAGCACAGGCTGAGTCCTGTGTCTCCCAGAGCCTTGTGGGAAGCGGTGCAGAGGGAGAGACAGGTATAGCTGACAGGTTTCCTTGGAGTTTGCCAAGTCCTGGGCTGGAGTCCTGTGATGCACATTGGGAGTCTTGTGCGTGTAAAACTATATAATCAAAATGAATTCTGTGAAATTAAATGGAGAAATAACTACATTTTCCCTTTCAGGTTCCAGAAGCCAATATCCTGGGACAAATTGGACAGGGCTATAAGTATGCCATCGGGAGTCTTAATGAAGGCAGAATAGGAATTGCTGCACAGGTTAGGCACTTTTTGGCCGTTTCGTTTGACTCTTACATAGTGTGCGTCAATTAAAACGTAGAAAGAAAAAGTGCCATAAAACTGATGAGTATTTGGAAGCGTGTGAACACAAGATGGCGCCCTTCCCTTCCGTGAGGTGGAAGAATGGCTTCTGACCACTGGCTTGGAAATCCCACTTTTGGTCAATTATGTAATTCCCTGAGAGCCCAACAATGGCTTAGTGGTGACACTTTTTCTGCTTTGAGAATGTTAAGTATTATCCAATACCTGGATCAATAACTTCTGAAATATATTGTAAATTAAATCTTCATTTTTTTCAAAAGCAACTTTTCAATTTTTGAGGTTCATGCTAGAAGAAATTTTTAAAATTAAGAATACATGATATTCTGTGTAGTAAGCATCTCTATAATATCTTTTCTTAATGTTTATTTATTTTTGAGAGAAATAGGAGTGTGAGTGGGAGAGGGGCAGTGAGAGAGGGAGTCCCAGAATCCGAAGCAGGCTCCAGGCTCTGAGCTGTCAGCACAGAGTCCAACACAGGGCTTGAACCCATGAACTGTGAGATCATGACCTGAGCTGAAGTGGGACATTCAACTGACTGAGCCACCCAGGTGCCGCTCTAATCTATAAAAAATGAAAAATTTGTTGCTCAGTGTTTTGCATGTGAAAATCAGGCAATTTTTTTGTGTGTGGTGCTTGAAATAAAATAGCCACAATAAAATGGAATATATAAATGAGAACTATCCCATTTTTTTTTTACCAAATTTACCCCCTTTATAATGCATATTACATTTTTCTATGAAGTGAAATCAGTTATTTTCCTGATTAACAAAATGAATAAAATCTTGGGCTGTATTATGAATGTCATTTTGGGGGCACCTGGCCGGCTCAGCCGGTAGAGCATGTGACTCTTAATGTGGGGGGTGTGACTTCGAGCCCCTTGCTGGGTGTAGAGATTACTTAAAAATAAAACCTTTAAAAAATATATCATTTTGTAGAGTATATTTATTTATTTTTAATCAATGAATATCCAAAATTGAAAAACTGACAGCTTTTAGATTTTGAGGATGTTACATATATTAGCTATTGGGGTAGTAAATGTCATAGTATTATTCTAGGGTGGTTTTTTTTGTTGCTGTTAATTTGCTAAGAAAATATTCTTAGATCAAAACTTAACCCATGTTTCCCACAAAGCTAGATAATGAGAGAATTAGCATATCTGTTTTTCTTAATGTTTTTCTGTGATTCAGCTTCATCATGGTGTTAAAAACTGCCGTCTGGACCTCCTTGTTCTCCGACATATAAATAATATAGATGTCTGGCATTAAAATACACAGCCTGGGCTTTAGTCTAATTACTCTGAGTTATCTTATAACCTAATTAAAAGTTAAGGTCAGGTAGTTATTATTTCTTGGTTAACATTGAAAATGCCTTTTAGAGCGAGAGCCACATCTAACAGCAACTTGAAGGCATCAGTCCTCGAAACCTCAGCCTAGGACTATTTAGCTTTTCAGTATTGATAGTGAAAACATTTTACAGAGATGAAATCGTGATTGACAGCCAGTGATTTTAATTTTCATGTCAATGTAGGATATTATTAACATACTGTCAATTTTAGTCCTAAAAGTTTGGTGACAGTTGGCTAACTAAAATTTAAATTAAAAAAAAAAAAGTTTAGTGACATCATCTTTACTCAGCCAAAAGTGCATTGGGTGCCGCTTCACTAAAATTTGGTTTTTTTGCTGGGGGGGGGACGCAGATAGCATGATATTCTGTTCTCCAGAAAATTCAAAATAAAAAGCTAAAGGAAACCATGAATGAACACTAATGAAATATTAATAAGTTTGTAGGCATTTCCCACAAAGCTTTTGCTATTGATTTTTGTTTCCTTTTTCTGTTTTTTAAAAAATGATTTTTTTTTTTTAAGAGAGAGTGCAAGAAGGGAGGGGCAGAGAGAGAGAGAGACACATAATCCAAAGCAAGCTCCAGCCTCTGAGCTGTCAACACAGAGCCCGACATGGGGCTTGAACCCATGAACCATGAGATCATGATCTGAGCTGAAGTCGGAAGCTTAAGCAACTGAGCCACCCAGGCGCCCCTGTTTCCTTTCTCTAAAACCCACATCATTTGACATAGGTAGATGGTGAGTTGAGTAGCTACCTGGTGTTGAAATTTAGAAACCATTTCTAAGCTTAAATAGTTTGATACAGAGCTTAGTTAGCAACGGGACAGTTCAGCTAAGGTTGCCACCATGTCCTGATTTGTTCAAGTACCTAAATCCATGTTTTTACCAGGTGCTCTCGTTTTAGCCCTGCAGTAAGCCATTAAGAGCTTAAAATGCTGATGCCTAGGCCACTCACCTCCTCCACTCCAAAGATTTAGATTCAGTTGTCAGACCTTCATGTCCCTGTTTTTTTGTTGTTTTTTTTTAAATCAGGTCCCCACAAATGATCTTGATGTGCCTCCAGGATTGGAAAACACTCCTTTTTTATGTTCTAGTGCCCTTTCCCCTGAAGCCCTTATTAATCCTGATCGTATGCAGAACGGACAGGAAGATAGAAGCTTAGGAAGTGACCTTCCACGCTTGTCTTCTTAGAAGGACCAGAGGGAGCTGCTCTAGTCTTCGAGGCCAGTTCTGAGCAAAATTTCTGCGGCTTGCTTTATGCCTGCAGAATCAGAGCTTAAAGGAGAAGCTTCCTTAGAAGTAACCTGGTTGTACGTGCACAGCCAAGCCGTAGGATTAACCCTGCAAGAATTCAGTATACTCATGTGGGCGAAATCTCCCGAATCTCCTCCCAGTTACTGGAAGTTAACTTCTACACATGCAGTGGGTGAAGGTATTGACACACCCCTCGCCAGTTCTTCCCCTACCCCAGCTATTCAATTTGCCTGTAAAAGGAATTTATACCCTAAGTAATTAAAACCGTAAACTTATAACAAAATAAGAAAGTCTGTTCTTTTTTTTTTTTTTTTTTTAACAGATGCTGGGATTGGCTCAAGGGTGCTTTGACTACACTATCCCATATATGAAGGAAAGGATACAATTTGGCAAAAGGATATTCGACTTTCAGGTACGTAATTATGAGTCTCTTTCTAGCGAGCTGTGCTGTCGCGGCTTCCTGTTAATGAGGAGCTGTGTCATAAAACTGTGCAGGGAGTCCCCTCCGGGGGATTTTAATGGGAAAGGTGGAGAGGAGGAAGGAATAGGTCTCAGGCAGCATATGTGTGAACACCTTGACCTTCTCCAGGAGCAGAACAACAGTCCTTGAGGCCCACCTGTGGCATGAGTCCAGATTTCTTGGCGAGTAAGCACTTCAGGGTTGTCTCCTCACTGCTTCGTAAGTTCTAGGGTGTGGGGTCTGCAGTCAGGCTTCCAGGGTTCAAATCCTGGTTCTCTGTCTTCCCAGCTTTAGGCCCGAACTGCTGCGTCTCAAAACTAAAGATGATACCAGGGTGACTTTGCATCAGGTAGATGTGTAGAATCTTCTGCACATTGCCTGAGTCTTTAACGAGTGCTCAGTAAATGGTACCACATATTAGGAATCCCCTACGCGGGTCAGAGCCATGCACGAATCCTCAAAACACTACACTCTGACCCCTGTTTCTTCTAGAAGGTACACTGTGCTGCAGTGGGTACAAACGAGATGTTCTCAGCCAGGCACATTGAGAAACAGTGGCCTGGTCTAATGAGGTGGCTTTTCGGAGCTCCCCACATGAGGGGACCACTGGTGACAGTGGCATCTTCCAGTCCATGTTGAGGCCTCACCAGGTTCAGGAAAGCCTGGAGTGACAGCTCACCAAGCTTCCTCAAGCAGTTTACCTAAAAAATCTCAAAAAACTGCTTTACATGTTCGCAAAACCTTCCTGGAAGCAGGCCCCAAGCACAACTTCTTATTCCATTACCAGTGCTGTGTGCTATGTTGTCTTCAGGCGCTATGATGACTCGGCATTACAGGGGCACACACAGATTGCATGTGTGTGGAAATATGAGGCACAGTCAGTTCTGGCTTGGAAAGACTGAGTGTGTCAGGCCTGGCCAGAGCCCCCCCCCCCCGCCCAAGCCTGTGCTGTCATGGAATCTTATACATGGGAAGCCGAAGCTTCCCGAGGACTTACAGCTAGTAATGTATCAGAGTATCGGTGTTCTGCTTTGGCTTCTGGTCTGATTTTCATGTTACTATACTAGAGTACTTTCTCCAGCCACTGCACAGATTGCAAGGAAAGGGACAGAATATGAAGACAGTTTGAGGCAGGCTGTAGATCTCCTTGGGACACAGAACACTGTTTTTCTGTCTGTGGAGTTGGTGAGAGAGGGATAGAGGGATACGGGGTCAGGTGTAGTAATAGGTATAGTCGTGGCACTTGTAAAGATGCCTCATGTGGGTAGAAAAACGCTTTTAGAAATTTGATCTGGAAAAGCAACATTATGTATTATAGATAATTATTTTATAATGTATTTTATACATATGTCTATGTATATCTGATGCTTTGATTAAAGGAGTTTTGTCTAACTGTTTCAGTCTCACTAGAATGGTTTGTTGTTTGCTTTGCATGTGATCATTCACATCTTTCTCTTCTCTAGACTACAAGCTCGTGGATGAGGCCTCTTCATCCTCACTTCTCTGTTGTTTATTCAGGATAGAATCATTGAGTACGTTCTCCTTGGCAGGCACTGGGTTCACAGTGTAGTCAGGGAACTGGTATTCAGCGATGGTTAGTTATTGTACGGCAAGAGACATGCTAGAGTCAGCTTTATGCCTCTCCTGCTACCTATTACGGTCATTGGAGTAGACAGCCTAGATGGCGACTGCTGGTTTAACTGAACTGAATGTGCTTTTCAAAAATAATTAGAATCTCTGCATTCCACATAACAAGCCATAAACTATTTCTAGAATAGTGATGTTGGAGTGAGATAGACAAATTGACTGATGGAACAAAAAAGGAAGACCAGAAATAGACTTATGCATGTATGGCAACTTGATGTAGGGTAGAGATGGTATTGCCGATCACTGAGTGGGGCTATTGTTTCCTTGTGGAAAAAAATAGGAGACTAGATCCCTACCTCACACCATACATGGAAAATAGATTTCTGATGTATTAAAGACATAACAAAAAACAAAATCTTAGGGGCACCTAGGTGGCTCAGTCAGTTAAGCCTCTGACTTTGGCTCAGGTCATGATCTCACAGTTTGTGGGTTCGAGCCCTGCATCAGTCTCTGCTGACAGCTCAGAGCCTGGAGCCTGCTTCAGATCATGCGTCTCCCTCTATCTTGCCCCTCCCCTGCTCGCACTGTCTCTGTCTCTCAAAAATAAACATTAAAATTTTTTTTTAAATTTTTTTAAGTTTTAGGAGAAAATAGAGAATATCTTTATGATCTCATGGTAGAGAAATTATTTTGTAAACAAGGCACGAAAGGACTAATTATAAAACATAATAATAATGGTGAATAGTGAATTTGGCTACCAAATTTCTTTTCCTTGAAAGATGCCATAAAGTAAAAAAAAAAAAAATTAGAATGATATGCGCTATACACATAGGTTAGTGAGTGTTCAATTTATTATTATGCTTTATAAACTACATACATGTAACAGTTTTTTGTGCTTACCAAATATTACAGAAAGATGATGACAATCTATAGGGTATTGTCTTTTTTTTTATTAAAAAAATTTTTTTTAAGCTTTTTTATTTATTCTGAGAGAGAGAGAGAGAGAGAGAGGCAGCATGATTAGGGGAAGGTCAGAGAGAGAGAGGGAGACACAGAATCCAAAGCAGGCTCCAGGCTCCGAGCTAGCTGTCAACACAGAACCCTACGTGGGGCTCAAACCCATAAACCGTGAGATCATGATCTGAGTCGAAGTCGGATGCTTAACCAACTGAGCCACCCAGGTGCCCCTCTATAGAGTATTTTAATAATAGGGTATTTTCGAACAGTACTGTTTTTAACTGTCTGTTCTCCCTGCTGGGCTCTGTAAGTCATAAGCACAAGGAACCCTGACTGTCATGTTCAGTGTGACATCTTTAGTGTTCAGCACAGTTCCTGGCATATGGTAGGTGCTTAGTATATACTGGGAAGACAGACATGTTAGGCATGAGAAATTTCTGTTTGTAATAGACGTATCCATGTCCATATTTCCAGGATATAGTTTGTAACTATAAACTGCTAATATTCATATTCTCAGCTCGCTAACTCACTTCTTTTCTTGACTATCATTGAGTGTGGGCCCCTTCATCTTCTTAAAATTTCAAATAGTAGTGACTTCTTCATGGTGTTTTATTTTGTTGTGTTTTGTTTTGTTTTTTAATTATTCTTCTGTTTTCTGTAACCCTAAAGAATCTGGTACCTGTTCATGAATATTGCAGTAGAGGTACTCAGTAAAGATAACTCAGAGAAAATTGGAGCTTGAACTATTCTTTCACTACTTTGCAGCTAACCCCATCTTTTTATTTATTTATGTAAAAAATTTTTAGGTATTTATTGTTGGGAGAGCGCAAGTCGGGGAGGGGCAGAGAAAGGGGGACAGAGGATCTGGAGTGGGCTCTGCACTGACAGGCTGTCAACACAGAGCCCAATGTGGGGCTTGAACTCACAAACCACAAGATCATGACCTGAGCTGAAGTCAGACGCTCAACCGACTGAGCCCCCCAGGTGCCCCCAACAGCATCTTTTTAAGGCACCGAGGCTATATGCAGGATCAAAATTTTATGAATTCAAGCAAATAAAAACTATGTTCACAGTTTTGCTCTGCTGGGATTTAGTTGAAGCTTAATTTTGATCATGAAATGGGCTTAAATGATGAAATGTTACAGTCAAATTTTTAAACCTAATTTTGCGATGATTTCTAAATCTTGACAATTTATAATTATGTAAATTTTGAAAGTTTTCTGAGAAATAGTACATGTATTTCATTTTAGACTGCAGATTTTATTATTATTATTTAGATTGCAGATTTTAAAGTATTTCTACAAAATGAATGTAAATTCCTTTGAAGGGGGCATATTTTCAGTGTGTCAGCATTCCATGTCTAGACAAGACTTTGAGGATAAGCAGCGTTTTCATAAGTCATAGTTTCCTAACTTGAGCCTACATATTACAGGGGCTCCAGCACCAAGTGGCTCAGGTGGCCGTCCAGCTGGAGGCTGCAAGATTGCTAATATACAACACTGCTAGGCTTTTGGAAGCTGGAAAGTCATTCATAAAAGAAGCATCCATGGCCAAATACTATGCATCAGAGGTAAGACAAACAAAACATAATTGACCCCTCTTTTCCCCTCTCCGTCCCCCCTTGTCCAGTTACTTAAGTATTAACCTTGTCACTTAGGACTGTTGATAATTTCTTTTTCAAGTAAAAACATAGACTTTCCAGTTCCTGCAAAAGTAAAGCAGACTTGCAAACCTTGCAAAGGAAAGTGCTCAATTCTATGAGGTCTCGATGTCTTTACAGGTTCTTCTGTGGAACTGAGTGGCCCAGTTCAGGTAGAACACCCACCTTGAGTCTCCGGGGGAGCCTCGGGTCTGAATGATGGTGTCATACCCATGGCTTCCAGCTGGGGCCAAGTGAATGCCATGGGAGATCATGTGATATAAAAACACAAGGAGAGATTCTTTCTGTTTTAATTGAATGCTTTCTGTTGATACTTCTGCCTTCTCTGTTTAACCCATTGGACACTGGCTGGAGAACTTTGCCAAGTCACCGGCTGCTACTTCCCATCCTCGTCAGTGTGCCTTACTCATTCCATAGCTCCCAATAGCCACTTAACGTCTCAGCCCCCAAATTTAATCTCCTGCCTCAACCTCCCTTCTGGGTTCCAGACCAATAGATCCAATTTCTACTGGAGCTGCCCACCCCATTGCACCAGTCAGATGCCTGTGCGTCAGCCTTCCACCCTCTTCCCCGGTGTCTCCACCTTGAGCCCGTCATCCGGGTGTTGAGGATTCTGCCCTGAGTATTTCTTGCATTTATATATTTCCCTCCCTTTCTACTGCCCCCTGTTGAACAAGCTGTGATTTCTTCACCAGACACCTCCACCCACCATCTGACTGATCCGTTGGTCCCTATTGCTTCCTTCAATCCACTCTTCCCTTTTCTAAATGTTCATGAGGCCAAGCTATTCCAGCTGAACCTTCGCGGCTTCTCATAGCAGATGAAACAATACTAGTATTCATTTCCTATTGCCACTTTTAACAAATGACCAAAAACGTAGTGGCCTAAGACAATGCAGTTTCATTATGTCATGGCTCTGGGAGTCACAAGTCTAAAATGAATATCACTGGGATAAAATCACAGTGTCAGCAGAACTGCCTTTCGGAGGCTCTGGGGAGAATCCATTTTCTGACTCTTCCCGCTTCTAGAGGCTGCTGACATTCCTTCACTTGCGGCCCCATCCTCCATTTTCAAAGCCGGTGGTAGCATGTTCAAATGTGGCTCAAGCCCTCATCCCTTCATCTTTCCCTTATGAGGGCCCTTGTGATGCCATTGGGCCCATCCACGCAGTCCAGAACCTTCTCCCTCTCAAAGCCCTTAACTTACCACATCTGTGGGTTCCAGTGGTCATATAAGGTAACATTACGTTTCTGGGGATTACCATATAGACAGATTGAGGGGCTTTAGAGTATTAAACCTGCCTGCCCTCATGAGGCCCACCTTCCTCTCCATTCTCTTCACAGCCCGCTCTGACCCCAGCCCCCCTCCCCTCAGGTCCTTGAGGCTGACAAACCCATTCTCCCCTTGAAGCCCTCCCACATGTTCCTGAACTTGAAATGTCCCCTAACTTGTCCTTTGGGCCTCAGCAAAGCTATGATTTCTTTTTTTTTTTTTTAATTTTTTTTAATGTTTATTTATTTTTGTGAGAGAGGAGGGGAGATAGAGTGTGAGCAGGGGAAGGCGAGAGACAGAGAAAGACACAGAATCTGAAGCAGGCTCCAGGCTCTGAGCTGTCAGCACAGAGCCCGACTCAGGGCTCAAACTCACAGACCACGAGATCATGACCTGAGCCGAAGTTGGCCGCTTAACTGACTGAGCCACCCAGGGGCCCCTCGAAGCTGTAATTTCTTCACACTAGTCTCTCTCTACCACACATCACCTTCCCTAGCCAGTCCTCCTTGCCCCTAGAGTTTATCACTTTCTGCAATTGTTAGTTTGATGTGGGAACCAAAAGGGCAGTGGCTGTCATTGACTGCCTCCACCCCCAGTATGGTTTACCCAGTGGCTGGCGGAGTGTGTGATGTAAAGAAGGCCCTCGGGAAATATTTGCTGAATAAACGATACCTGTCAGTGTGCCCAGGTGTCTGAACAATGCCTTAATGTTCTTAAGAAAACAGGAATTTTGTGAATAAGGAGTTTCCATAAATGGTGTACAGAATGGGGCTGAAGAGCCAATGTGATCTTACAAAGTAGCTTCGATCCTTCCGCTGGCGGATAGCAGTGGCTCCGTGTGACTAAAATATTCCAGGGGAGTGTTTTACGGTGCATAAGTTGTGTGGTTTCAGCCTGTTTTTTGCTGCTTGGTTTTGGCAGATTGCAGGCCTCACAACCAGTAAGTGCATCGAGTGGATGGGAGGAGTCGGCTACACCAAAGATTACCCCGTGGAGAAATACTTCCGAGACGCAAAAATTGGTAAGTAGATTTTTTACATTGTATTTTGTTTTATTTGCCTCTGTAGCTGTTTGGGCTGCTGTCTATGTTTAGTTTTATATTAGTGTACTTAGGCAAAGGCAATTCTAATTTCTTCAGTATTGTGTTTATTGGCTCTCTTCTGTGTCTGGGTTTTCTCCCCCCACCTCTTCCTTCAAGATAAAGAACGGATTTGTGTTTTTTAAAACATCAGGTTGCCTTTATAAATGCCTCAGCAGGGCCTTTTAGCAAAACTGCAACAAAACTGTTGTCATTTTTCTTTTACTAAAAATTGTTAATACATCTGATTCGTTTAATGCCGTTCTTTGAAGCTAAGTTCTAATTTTGGAAGCCTAGTGCCTAATCAAGGCTGAGCGATCCAATGTCCCAATACAAGGTGGAGAGACCAAAGCGAGGAGCTTTGAAAGCCATCTGTTCCCTAGTGATGCTCCAGGCTGACGCACTGATAGATTAGAAACAAACAACTTTAACTGTTTAATACTGATTCTGGAATCAGAATCCAATTTCCAAATGGAGTATTTTCGTCTCTTAGGCAAAATGACTGTGTTGTATAGTACCATATTCAGGGGACATTGAGTGATGTAACTAATGACAGTTTTATAGCGAATACAGGGGCAGTATACAAGAGCTATGTCTCGTGTAGACACGTAACTATGGGTGCACTCCTAATTGGGGTTTTTTTTTGCTCCCTTTTATTTAAGGCACAATATACGAAGGAGCTTCAAATATCCAGCTGAACACCATTGCAAAATACATTGACGCAGAATACTGACATCGCAGGGACGGGGCCTCCCCCCCTTGACGCTGGTATAAAAGTCTAAACTATTGTGCCTTGTTGGGGAAGTAAACCTCCACAGTATTTTCTCTTCAGGCCCTTGGTCATGATTCTTGGGATAGACTTCTTTGTGTTTTATTTTTCCAGTCTGCATAAATTAGGCACCCGGAAATCATTTTTCAAATGTGGGAAGAAAGGCATCCGTATTTTCTCCAAAACTATTGTTAAAGTTGTCACGTGTAAATCACTCTAGCTTTGGGGGAGACAGACGTTTCATGCTGTCAGCATTTGGAGCAATGCACTTGAAGTGTTATGTACAGACATGGCTATCTTCTATGCCTGTTAGATCTTTATTTGTTGGAATCTGAGAACATTTGTTAAAATAGTTGGCAATTCTATAGATTGATTCAATGCTAAGTTACTAAATTAGGTAGGCCCTGAAAATGTACTTAGAAAAATCTGAAAAAAAAGAAAAGTTAAAAAAAAGTGTGTGTTTATTTGAGAGAGAGGGCAGGGGAGGGGCAGAGAGAGGAAGAGAGAGAATCCCAAGCAGGTGTCTGTCTGTCAGTGCCGAGCCCAATGTAGGGCTCTTCTCTCAAGAACCGTGAGATTATGACCTGACCAGGAGTTGGAAGCTTAAATGACTGAGCCACTCAGATGCCCCTAAAAAAAAGATTAATTTTAAAAAGAAAAATCTGAGGCACCTGGGTGGCTTAGTCGGTTAAGCGTCCAACTTCAGCTCAGGTCATGAGTTCGAGCCTATGCAGTGACAGTGCAGAGCCTGCTTCAGATCCTCTACCTCCTTCTCTCTCTGTCCCTCCCCAGCTCACTCCCTCTCTCTCTCAAAAATAAACATTAAATAAATAAATAAAAAGGAAAGAAGAAAAATCTGAAAGTTCTAGTTCTAAATGTCCAGAAGTGGGTAGAAAATGAGGGTATATTTCTGTAGGTCATATAGTTGAAGACATTATTTTAACCAAGTAAAGCAATACAATTTGTTCCTATAATTGAGCTGCATGAAAGATGCATTTCATGATGATTTCAGCAGATCATTTTAAGAATGAGTCCCTCTATTATTTTTCAGCATGAAGTTTAAATACTTTGATTTAATAATCAGAACATATTCCATATTATAATATTCATTGTATCATGCACTATTTTTCAACAACATCATTTCTTTCTGTATTTGAACTGAAGAGTGTTTCCTCAAACTTAAAGTTATTGGGCTTTACCATGAATAGTAATGCAGATACTATGTTTTGGTTCAATGATTCTCAGGAGGGAGAAGTCTTGTCCTGGTAAAGAAGTATATCAAAATCTTATAAAGAATGAGATAGAAGGGGCCTATAGACTTTGAAAAAGCATATTCAGTGATACGGAAAATAATATAAAAATAATTTTATATCTGGGAAGGCAAAAATCTATTGTTTCACAATACAAATTACAGAAAGGCAAAGCTATACAAAATAGAGAGCTGGTGATGCCATTCCTTCAGTATTGGGGATTCTCAATCAGGAGAAGAGAATTCTCCACCCCCTTCCCCAGGCCAGGGTGCACATCCTGAGACCCCTCAGGGAAGTGGACAACAGACAGAGAGGTTTTTTTGTTGTTTTTTTTTTTTAATGTTTTATTTATTTCTGAGAGAGAGAGAGACAGTGTGAGCAGGGGAGGGTCAGAGAGAGAGGGAGATACAGAATCTGAAACAGGCCCCAGGCTCTGAACTAGCTGTCAGTACAGAGCCCAACATGGGCTCGAACCCACAAACTGTGAGATAATGACCTGAGCTGAAGTCGGATGCCTAACCGACTAAGCCACCCAGGCTCCCTGACAGAGTTTTATATCTTCTGAAAAGGTGGCATGGGTTAGAGGTGTTGAAATACACTTCAAGGTTCCTACTACTGCTGAATGGGAAGATTTTAGTACATTAAATGACAAGATCATGTTTCTTAAGAAAACCTGACATTTTAAAAATAATTTTGCTTTTGCACATTCATGTATCTTGATTTGGATTAATTTCTGCGATGCAAATCATAGTTAAATACTCAGAATTTGTAAAGACAATCAAGAAAGGAATTACTTTAAAATATCAGAAATAAAGACAAATACCTTGGATCAAAAGAGATTAAGTCTATGTGACTTTCAAATAGGGAGATGATAGAAAGTCCTTCCTCTGGTCTTTCTGAACAAAAAGGCACTGTAATCTGATAAAGAAAGTAGGGGAATGATGGAATGCCCTAAAACGGAGCTAGACATCTTTAATTTCTGTGATTATGTAAAAAAGAGGTGGACTTCACAAATAATGCAGCAGAAGCCAACATTAGTGCAAAAAAACAACAACAAAAAAATCTGGTTCCTGTGGAATTGTAAAGAAGTGAAACTGCAGTAAACCTCATGTTTAAATTATCAGCATTGGAGAAACTCCTATGTACATCCAGACCTTGAATGTATTGTGTTGACAAAATCCTAATGGTATGTATATTCGTGCATGTTCACAAAAACCAGTTGAAAATTAATTATGTAATCTAGTTAATGTATCTACCTTCTTCCATTAATGAATTATTGTGTTATTTTGCCTTTTACAAAAACAAATGTTGTAGGTTTTCCCTGTAGTTCTTCCCTTATACCTTTTCTTAATCACCATGACTTTGGAGGCTTTAAAACTACCTACCCTGAGTTTGTGCCTAGTGGAGAATGAGCTTGTTCGCCTCCTGAAGGCTGTCATTATTCTTTGTTAATTTGAGGATTGGGCCTTTGTGGCTCTCAGGAGTTTCAGACTTGAACCCAAACACCAAATACGGCTTGGCTGTATTTGTGTGGATGGAGTTGGACTCAACCCAACTGCCAAGTCAGTATTGTTAGGGATTTCATTTGACAACACAAAAATGAGTCAGTGTCAAAAGATTTTAGAATCATGGAAAAATAAACCTGGAAAGACCTTAGAGAACCATCCAGCCAACTCTGTTCATTTCAACGTGAAGGATTCCTGACCCAGAATATTTGCCGAAGGTCATCCACCAGGGACAAAACAAGACGAGAATCCAAATGTCCCAAGTCCCGATTCTGTGCTTTTCCTCCTACCTGACACCATCTCTGTTCAGCAGATTTTGGATCTCATTCTTGTTATATTTCAGGATGGTTGTTGATTTATTTTAGGCTTAACTGACAAAGACTTAGCATTTCAGAAGTGTTGTGATTGATCAGTGTCATTACTTGTACATATTAATCGCCTGCCAAAGATACCAGCCGTCATAAGTCAAAGCTGCCATGTCAGATGTGAAGATTATTGTGTATGATTTAGTTTTATGATTATGACATATGTGAGTAAATGCACTAGTTCTATCCTTGCCATTGTATTTTTGCTGATCTTTCGTGAAGGGAAAGTTTTGTTTTAATGGTGTATGTCAATCAGACTACTCAGTGTTACAAAGTCCATATTCTATGGAGAATGAAAAAATATGGCACTGAGTTAACTGGAGATTTTTGCCACTCTAACAAAGCAAAATTGTTTGTTCCACACATAGATGAAGTAACAAAATAGTGTAATCTTCCTGCAAAATACATAACACTTTTGTTTACCAACCTGATAGCTTGCCTCTCATGTAAGCCAATTTTTTTTTTTTTTTACAAATAGTTTATTGTCAAATTAGTTTCTACATAACACTCAGTGCTCATCCCCAAAGTGCCCTCCTCCATGCCCATCCCCCCCTCCCCCCCACATCCATCAGTCCTCAGTTTTTCTCAGCATTCAAGAGTCTCTCATGGTTTGCCTCTCTCCCTTTCCCCCACCATTTCCGCCCTTCTTCTCCCCCTTGTTCCTCCGTCAAGTTCCTCCTAATCCTCCTATACGTGCAAACATATGATATTTGTCCTTCTCTGCCTGACTTATTTCGCTCAGCATAACACCCTCAAGGTCCATCCATGTTGCTACACATGGCCAGATTTCATTGTTTCTCATTGCCATGTAGTATTCCATGGTATAGATAAACCACATCTTCTTGATCCATTCATCTGTTGATGGACACTTAGGCTCTTTCCATGTTTTAGCTATTGTGGAGAGTGCTGCTATGAACATTGGGGTACATGTGCTCCTATGCATTAGCATTTCTGTATCCCTTGGGTAAATTCCTAGCAGTTCATGTAAGCCAATTTCATTTTCAGAGAAGAGGTTCTATGAAATAAACCAAGTTTAAATTCTGATGCTAACGGAGATTTTACTGGAGGACCCTTTTTTTCCCTTTTTTTTAGCAAAATAAGGAGATCTTCAGTTCGAGAGGTCACCTGTTCTGAGCAATCTTCACAGGACAGATCTCATCTAGCTGATACTTATACCTGTGCTTTCTAGTACTACTTTCGGAAATTTTATATTGTTGTTCCTTTTATGCAGGGATATTCTATACCCCAGCACTGTAGATTTCAGCCTGTCTGTTCCCTGTTCCTTCCTACATTATTTTAGAAATCCAGGTATCAGTCCCTTTCTTCTTTTGTCATTCAGTGACCTGTGTCGAGCATTCAGTGTGTCCGAGGGTCAAAAGTGCCCCACAGAGATGAGAAAGTAGACACTTAGTGAAATGTGTGCTGATCTCAGGTGTCATTTTTCTGTCCTTATTGGTGCATCCTCACACGGAGATTGAATAGAAAACTACCAAGCCCTACCCTATGCAAAAGTATTTCTTTAGATCCTTTAGAATGATAACACTAAACACTAATGTCTCTTGAGCTCTTCCCATGTGCCAGCTGCTATTCTATACTCTTGATACATATTAACTCACAACAACTCTTTACAGTAGGTGCTGCTGTTAGCCCATTTTACAGGCAAGGAGACAGAGACATGGAGAGGTTAAATAAGATGCTTATTGGTACATGACAAATGATTCAAACTCTGGCTGATGAAGGCCATCCCAGATTCATTCCTCTGGTCTTACAGGTTTGTTCATCTTCAGGAGGCTTCCAGTAAAATGCCAATATAATCTTTTCAAACAGAGAAGTTAGCTAGAAGGCCTACGAGACAAATCATTCGGGGTGGTTGGAGTCTGTGTGTTTTGGGAGAAAGACCAGGGAGTGGGGTGGACAGGGTGATGGAGAGATGTAGCTAGAA